GGTAAATGTTTAAGGAATGAATCAATAATAGGCTGTGTACTTTTTGTCAATGATAATTTATAATATCGATAGCCTCCTGAATTAGTAGTTGTTTCTGAATTAACCATTATGGCCCAAGTTTGCTTATGCTTTTCATTCTAATAATGCAGATGTTAACATAAATCTATACATACACACATATTTCTATATGTACAAAGGTATGTATTTAGATTTACTATGTAATTTTCGTAAGAAGACAGAAGGAATAACAGAGTTTTTAAACTTACTTGCAACATGTTTGTAACTAGGATCTAACTTCCTTCTGGAAGTGGTCCAGTTTTCTAGGAAGTGTAGAAATGGCCATATGGAATAACTAAGATCAACTCACGTTTTAGCTCACAACAATAATACATAGTTGACATACAGCCTTTCCTGTTAACTGGCTTTAGGTTTAATCTTAGGAATAGTATCCTACATAAATGGCCAAAATTCTGAAATACGTTAACCTAGTTAACCCAGGAGAGTAATCAAAGGCAAATTTGCTCCTCAAATTTAGTCAACTCAAGAAAATCCAAACTGAGCAACTGTAAATACCTTCTAACACTAGTTAATAAGTTATAATAAATTCAATGGGCTATGCAATTCTGTTTTCTGTGAATCACTTTTATTAAGAATTAATATTCTTCTGGAAATCATATTCCCATTTTGTAGATCCTATAACTTGGCGAGAAGGGATATGGCTTTTTCAACTCAATAGCCTACACACTGCCTAGCCCAGGATCTTGTGTTTCCCTAATGGAAGTGATAGCACACAATGCTAAATTCTTTAAAGTACAGTGGCAAAGAGAAAAGAAATTAGACTCCAGTAGGAAAGAAGAGAGGTATCTTGTGCCTGGAAGGACTGAGATATTATGATATGCAAATTATCTAAGCACCATTCCCAATCACATAGTAGGAACTCAAAAATGATAACTTACATTCTCTCCAACTCAATTTTTGTAGTTTTGTTGTTATGCATGGTTTAGAAATCCCTATGATTTTCATTTAGGTCTTAATGATGTCTGAAATGAATTAAAGCATAGCTGTTTTTTTATTATAGGACATTAATTTAGTTCTCTAGTGTCCTCCCCTATAGTGTAAATGGCACTCAATTAAGTTCTTTCAGTATAGAAAGTACATGTTAGGTACCTGAGATTTATTAATTGCTGTGGCATAGAATTCAAAGTATTATTTAAAAGTCTCTTCCAACAGAGAAGTTTATTGTATGGATCACTTCATGTAAAGGTATTTACTTAAAATATAGCCTTAAAAATCTCCAGTGATCTAACTAGCAGAGATATTCAACAGAGATTTCTATTGTACATGTTTTATTAACGTATATACTTATACATGTTAAAAACTGCTATGAAGTATTAGTGTACTGAGACTCTATTACTTCCAAAAAGAGTACAAATATATAACTACTGACGGCAAAATAATTTTATGAAAACAAACAACAAAAGAATTACTGACTAGTTTTTCTTAAGATTCTCTGGCTGAATTATAAAACCTATAGTTTGATTAATTCATCATTTATCTCAAGAATTAGAACAAAAAATTTTAGATAAACTTGAAACAGTCACCTTAGTAAAATCATACTTTGATATAAACTAACAAACATAATACCATATCCAAAATGAAGACAGAGTCTAGGATAGAACAAGAAAATAATTTGATTTCTTAAAAGGAAGATTACTGTTCACTTCTGTAAAAGACTTTCTATTTTAAATAAATTAAGTAAATCTAAGGATTTACCAATAAAAACTATAAATGTATAAGTAGATTTAAAAAAATACTTGATTGGAATGTGAATATCTCAATAAAGCTGCTATTTAAGAAAAATACCTGCCATATCTCTTTTCAAAAACTCCAAATTCTGGCAATAATTGTTTGTTTTAGTTCCCTACATAATACTTGCATTTCACTTCTTTATAATCTATACTATAGGATTCACAAAAAATCCAAAAAGAATCCTTTCACCATTCTCATTTCTTCTTTATCAACTCCTTATTTTGCCAAAAAATACCATCAATTCACTAGGACACCTTTTTTGTGTTAGGAAAATGGCCTCTGTCTTAACTATTGGGAACCTACATAATACTGTTCAGAAAGTCCACATTTCTAAAACTTTTATTTATTCACATATTGAACCTCACATTCTTAACTATCCTTCTAGTTGGACAAAAACAGCGGCCTTTAAAAAATGGGGAGGAATACATATTTCAGACTGGTGATTCTCAACTACACCTCCCAGATTTTGATACCTGGCCCCACGGAGAGAGGAGGAGTTGTGTAGAAGCAAGCCCTCTTTCCCCCACCTGCAACCCTGGGACTTACCGGATAAAAAGACGTTATTGATGGGAGTATGTAAAAGTGTGAACAGTGCAGAGGCAGAAAAAGGTTTGAAAGACACTCTTTTACCCAATATTCTGGATTGTGGATTAGCAGCATCATGTTTACTCATTCCCTCAGTAATATGTAAAGGGAAAAAATCTAGATTGGCGAATCTGAGAAACACATTTTAAATAATTAAATAATAAAGAATGTACATAAACACCTATATGCCCAGCCTCTAAATTTTAAAATTTAAATTGATTTAAAACTTGTGAAGCACAAACCTTTACGGCAGAACTAGAAGTCTGTTCCCACCAGGCTCTCATATCTGAGAGCAGCCAATCCGGCTCCTTCAAAACTCTGAAGAACTGACAAAACTCTGACATCAAGAGTCATCATTTTTACGCATTTCATATTTAAACAGCAAATGCTATAGCTTTGAAAAAAAAAAACCTCTCAGAAGTATAAATTAATGTGCCTTTCCCTAGACATCTAGTCCTTTGGCCAGGAAACATTGAATAACTGGTAATTTACTCCAAATCTCTCTTTGACAGTTAGGTCACTAAGGATATTAATATGTCAAATAAAAAAGCAACTCTAATGATATATACTAACTGATCTCCCTGCATAATTATTTTTTAACCTAAACTCTCTTATCTATAATGTTATATGACAAAGACTACTCTACCAATAAGAGATTAGAATCCTAGAATAAGACTATATCTCTGTTATTAAACTTATATTAAAAAAAGTTACAAAAGACTTGGTTTTAGATCATAGAAACTTTCCATGTGTGAATATAAGAAAACCTCGAGGTTACCTCCTTATTCTTTTCACTATCTTTACAATGTCAATAACTTCTTAATCTAACATGAATTTATTACTCTAGAATACTTCCTTTGGTTAATTCTCTTATTTTCATATTTTTTCAACTCACAGCTTTCAATCTAATTTATCTGGAGAAGATTTTCTCAAATACACGGACGGAGGGAGAGAGGATCAACATTCCATTAGTGACTCAAATTCAAGAATTTTCAATGTTTATACATAAAAACTTCTGAAATTGTTTGGTAATACTTAAAAAGAAGTGTTGTTCTTATTCCAAACCTAGCTAACATTCTTTCAGCTTTTAAAAGGAACTGGATCTACTGTCAACAGATGTAAAAAAGCACAGAAGAAACAGACTTTTAGTTTTATACAGATTCAAGATGTCTTTAAAAAACAATCTCAAAGATACAAAAAAAATCAGTTAGTCAATTTCTAACTGTGGATTTAAAGTGAAATATTTCATTAAAAAATCTTTTTTATATTTTATTATCTGATACAATTTTTAAACAAGATTTAAAACTTTAAATTCCAGAAAAAAAATTCAGGGAGGGGCATTTTAGAACCCAGTGAATATAAAGAGAAAATAAGTCATCTTAACAATCTGATTACTAAAAAGTTCACAATTAAATCCACAGAATCTGTTAGAAAATGTCTGGCAATACATGAACAGTGAGCAGGGCTGTTAAGTTTCTTTGCCATGTTTAAAGCTTTCCTGCCCTCAATCAGGAAGGCTGCATATTGCACTATACAGCTTAGGTGAAAGATTGGTACACAAGGTTGATGGTACATAAGTTAACACATTTAAGAAAAATACCCAAAGTTCTACTACAGTACCAATATCCTCATTTAAATCACAACCTTCCGCTTCACTGTTCTTTTTGAAATGAAAAGAATTTACCAAAAACAATGCTCTGATATGGACTTTACCATTTTAAAAGATGAGAGGTATCATATTAGACAAGAAACCTCTAATAGAACAGATAAAACTTCAGAGCATGTATATACTTTTTTCCTTTTTTTAAACCAAACACACTTAGCAGTCTATAAACCCAACTAAAAAAAGAATTACAGTTGGGCAACCTAATATTATTGAAAGCATTCTTATTAAGTTAGCACTAATCAAGACTTTTCTATTGCTTTGTCTGTCAATCTTTTATTCTAATTCAATCAAAATGTGAACCAATTTTATACAATCATAAAGTGTATGATTTGAGAGCTGAGTAAAAATAAACTTGATAAATTTTAAACATTACTTTCCATACTTTTTCATTGATAGAAGACAACGTCTTTACATAAATATTACATTCAAATCTTCCATTACTTTCAACTTAATTTAAAATAAGTATAAAGTCATATATGTTTTTAAATGTAGGGAAAAGGTTATAACAACATGCTACAAACAGAAAAGAGACTTAAGTGCTTGAGTCTTTCTTCATATTATACAAAATATTTTTCCCTTTGAACAAATTTCTTAAAAAAATTATTAAATACAGACTCAAACGTAATTTTCTATCCATAGCTTGGTATTCAACTTTTTTTATGTGCAGTCAACAAAAGAGCTTTAAACTCATTCCCATAGCTGAAGACAAGGTCCATTCAAGGAGATGGCACTAACACATGTGCCAATGTGAAATTTTAAAAAATAATAATTACATCAAGAAAATTATACTGAAAAATTTTAATAGTAAAAGTATATATTTTAAAACCTCCTAAAACAAACCCTCAAATCACACTCTTTTTGATATGAACTTTGCCAGCACTGTTCATGTTGGCCAGATAATACTCTAGTTTTCTTTAATAAAGTAAAATGAAATGCATACCAGCAGCAACTACAGCTGGAGGAGGCGAACCTGCCTCACCACCACTTGTCTGACTCATTGATGCTACAGATGTTTCTCTAGATGGAGGTAACTGTAACTCCTTGGGGAGAAGATCATAGACAGATTCTGTTGGAGAGGGAGAAAAAATTTTTGAAAGAGTGTAAGGCAATAACCTAATATATGAGCACGAAATTAATAAGTCTTTTCTCTCACGTGGAGAACTGTATTATTCACACACACACAAAACTTCATATAATTACTGTTGTAAAGAATTACCAGCAAATGTTTTTTTCTTTTATTATATAATTTTATTGAACTGAAGAATAAATTTTCCATTAGTTCTGCCCTATATTCTTCTTGGCTTTTATTCCTTATGATTAAGATGGTCTCCAGAAAAAGTCATAAAATTTTAAAACTGAATGAAATTGGAAAGAATAGAAGAAATGCCAAATAACTCAAAATGTTCCAGTATCTTCCTCTGTAATAATAAGAGTGTAACTTACCATCTTTTACATATGAGTTAGCATATACTAGTGTCTATCAGCTTGAAATTGACTTCTTCGATTAGACCATTAGCCTAGCCCTGCTCTTTTACCCAGCACCTTTAAGCAAATTTTTTTTTTTCAGATTTTATTTTTCCTTTTTCTCCCCAAAGCCCTCTGGTACATAGTTGTGTATTTTTAGTTGTGGGTCCTTCTAGCCGTAGCACATGGGACACTGCCCCAGCATGGCCCAACCAGCAGTGCCATGTCTGCGCCCAGGACTCAAACCAGCGAAACCATGGGCCCCGAAGCGGTGCGCGCAAACCCAACCACTTGGCCACAGGGCCAGCCCCTTTAGCAAATATTTTAATTTGCCATTATAAGGCATTTTTCCCTCCTAAAGAAGCTAAAAAAGGAATGTCATTGCTCAAGCAAATACTTCTTACTCTGAGGCATCTCCAATTCTACAAAGGCACAAGTATAGGATACTCTTAAATCAGAGAACATAAATGCCCATATTACATTATGATTACTTTTGTATCCCAGATTACAGAATATTATCTTTTTCAGTGTCTTTTATAATTCTAATTGTCCACAAAATTAAATTTATATCTACTATTTTAAAAATCCTTTTATAGTTATTACTGCATGGTTTTGGGACAGAAATAATTCTCAAAATATCTTCAAAAAGTAGTAGAATCAATGTTGGAAGGAACTTTAAAAGACCAATTACAATCATATGCCCATTTTAAAAAGAACCGAGGCACAAGAGTTTAATGGACTTGCCTAGTATTCCAAGAAACCCAACATTCCAACAATTAAAGAAGTTTATTAATTATTTGCATGATTGATTCAAAAAGCAAACGTAGCACTATAAGATACTGTATCCTCGGTGACAAACAATATTTTTAATTAACTTACTACTGAATTCATATATACTTGATCCTCCCAGTTAATCATTAAAGTATATCTCCTAACTGATGTGGACAGGAATAAGGAAGAATGTCAGGAAGGAAAGCTAAAATTAGAAGTTGTACTATTAAATGATCTTCATTAACAGTAAAGAATTAACTTAAAAGTTTCTTTTGAAAAACCCTACTACTTAACAGTTGAAATTTCCATCTTCAAAGCATTTGGCAAATGTGTGAATATAATATGCCCTGACTGAAAATTTTCAGCTTGTTAGAATGTTGCCAATAGCATTATGTAAACTACTTCCATTTTTCAAATATAATATAGGCGGAGAGTAGGGAGAACACAATTAAAACAGAAATGCCATATCATCAAATATTGATTTTAATACAATTATTTTTCTCAATACATGTTGAAAACAAGAGTTCCTCATACATAAAAGTACACTCAAGTCCTTTTTTCCCCAAACAAAAAGGAGATTTGAAAATAGAAATTAACTTAGATGAAAGATCTACCAAAATACACTTATGTCAAGGGAAAAAAACTTATCCTAGTAATAGCCCCATCACTAACAGCACTTCGCTGGTCAAAACTATTTCTCCACTTCACTAATTATTATTATTTTTTTTTTTAAAAGAGTAGCACCTGCGCTAACAACTGTTGCCAATCTTTCTTTCTTTTCTTCTTTTTTTTCTTTCTTCTCCCCAAAGCCCCCTGGTACATAGTTGTATATTCTAGTTGTGAGTGCCTCTGGTTGTGCTACATGGGACGCCGCCTCAACATGACCTGATGAGCAGCGCCACGTCGGCGCCCAGGATCTGAACTAGGGAAACCCTGGATGCTGAAGCAGAGCATGCGCACTTAACCACTTGGCCACAGGGCCGGCCCCTCTAATTATTAAAATGAATAAATCAAATCAAAACAAACCCTTGTGGACTGAAACACTCTATCTTTCCCAAAAAAGGGTATAAAGTTGAGTCTACATTAGAGGTACAAAAGCAATGTTAACAAAAATATATTGGAAAGTAACTAAATACAGAACTTATATCACAAGACCTCCCTCTCCCCATCCCTCAAAACAAAGTAACACACAAGGTCAAGTGGAAGAAGTGGGAAGCATGGATTCACTCCTTCATCAAAGTATTTTCTGATTAAGTGACTCAAGTGTTCAGAAATTCGAGAAGTCAGAAGTTTTATCTCATCTATCCAAGGGAAGTAGTAGTTAATATCGTCCTTACCAGCACAGGCTCTGATTTCAGACAGAACTGGGTTGGCTCTGCAACATTAAACAACTTCTCTAAGACTTAAATGCTCATTTAAACTTCTTTTACCCTATTACCTCAAAGATTTTCCTTCCAAGATATAACTGTTCAACTCAACCACATACACTGGTCTTTCTCTTAAATCTGTTTCCCATAAGACATAAAAAGATTAAAGGTATATAAATTATGCAGTTTACACTACTGCCATTTGATCCTAAATTCAATCCAAATTAAACACTTTTACAGTCTCCACTAGCCAATGAAAAAACTCCTGAAAAAGAGCATAGGTATTTTAAATTCATGAAAACAAACAGTCCTAAGTAAGTACTAGATATTTCATGTTAAGCCACCATATCTATTTTTCTTGTGTTATCTTTTAAATCAGTTAGATAGATAAGGAAGGAAAGAAATTCTAGATTTTTAAACATAGAATATGAAGAAAGAGAATGGGAAATCCATAATGGAAAGGCAGCTTCCTGAGGAAAGACTTCATTAGAAAACAAAAGTAAAATCACTTTTAGATTTTTTTTACAGAGAGACAATGTTACAAGGTTTCTTCTTGGGGCGGTAAAAATGTCCTAAAATTAGATTATGGTGATGGTTACACAATTGCAAATATATTAAAAAACCACTGAATGTGCACACTTTAAATGGATGAATTTTATGATATGTGAATTATACATTGGTAATACTGTTTTTTAACAAAGAGAGAAAGAGAAGTCGAACAAGGACAAGCGAGAATTGCACAAGAGCAAGTTAGGTTTCTCAATGTTCCTAATAAACTTCACGGACAAAAAATATCTCTTCACATAGTTTCTTTTTTTTTTTTTTAAAGATTTTTAAATTTATTTCCTTTTTCTCCCCAAAGCCCTCCAGTACATAGTTGTGTATTTTAGTTGTGGGTCCTTCTAGCTGTGGCATGGGGGATGCCACCTCACCGTGGCCTGATGAGCGGTGCCATGTCTGTGCCCAGGATCCGAATGGGTGAAACCCTGGGCCACCAAAGCAGAGCATGCAAACTTAACCACTCGGCCACGGGGCCGGCCCCTTCATATATCTTCTATTTGTGAAAAATGAAATTATGAGGAAGGTCAAGCTGCAAACTAATCTAATTTGCTTTTTAAGGCTCTTCTACTAGAGGATCAAGAAAATGCTACAGGCATAGTTACCCTAAATTCAGTAAAATAATTGATGAAAATCTTAAAAAGTTCTAGGGAACAAGATGAAGAAATACAAACAATAAAATAGATGACGCTAAGCAATAGCACCCAAAAATGTATGGGTTCAACCTGGAGGGAGGTGGTTACTATATCAACAACTTGTACAAAGATACTGAATTTGTGAATGACAGGCTTAAGAGGGATATCTCGTATGCTATAATTCATCACCAATCATGAAAGGTTGGAATAGTTGCCCAAAGGAATAAGGTGAAATTTAATAAGGATTAATGTAACAGCTGATAAAAACTGCTCTTGTGCAATGTACTTAAATGCACACACTTTCTCTCTCTTTTTAAAGATATTTATACATGATTTTACTTTTGTTTTCTAAGGAATTCTTTTCTCTGTCTGCTAGGATTGGGGTGACCATTGTCATGCATTTTTTTTATTAACATTGCTAATAATTTGGGCAATCACAATGTTTAGTCAACTTAACTTAATGGTTCATTATGAATTTTAGTTGACCAAAATCCCAACATAAGTCCACTGCTTAAGAATCTATGTAGCAGAACTAGGGCAAGTGTAATATAATAAATAACTCTGTTAACATAAATTATTAATGCAAGTGTGTGATAAAAGAAATTAGGCAGAAAGGGGAAGAAGCTCAGATCAAGAATTTGTCTTCTCTTGGTGCAATAGTGCAGAGCCTAGGGCAATGAGGAAGAAGGAAGAAATGGAAGAATGAAATCATTTTCAGATATTGATAGAAAATTAATGCTTCCCAATGTTGGGTGGGAAGGTGAACAACGTAAAAATGGGCTGACTGGCTGGCATGTTTGCTTGGTCATTCAACAAACTCTGATCCATTTATGTCTCTGATTATTTCTGGGTCAATTCAGTCATTTATTCTTAAACACTGGCTAATAAGGGGTGAGAGCTTCACTATACCTTATCAAACTCAAAGTAGACAGAAATCCCATCCTGAGGGTGTAAAGTAATGAAAGAGAAGGGAAAAACTGGTAACTTAACAGTGCAGCTTTGCTTTTTTTTTTTCCTTTTCAATTGGGAACTCTGTTGCCTAACTGCGGATGGCCCAATCCCATTCTCTACTGTTTCATTCTGCACGTTGCTCAGTTCCAGGAAAAGACTTCAAACCCCCATATTCCCTCAATTTCCCCCGGAAGAGTCCAGGGAGATAAAACAAAGTTAACAGCTAAGAAAAGACATGCTTTTCATGTTATTTTCTCGCAGCAAAATAACAACATTAATAATACAATTACAGCTACCATTTATTGAGCATTTTAGCAGGG